AACAAGCCATGTTACATCAATGGCTGCTTTTGTACCGAGATTCCAGTTTCCTTGAAACAGAAATTCTATGGCATCCAAAGCCTAAATTATTGATCATATGATCTAATACAGAAACAGACTGCTAAGCTGTGCTCTAAATAGCTAAAGGACACCTAGTGGAAGGGAAGTATTCTCTGTAGAATTTTTACCTTTGACTCACCTGTATCGTATTTTTCTGCAACTCAGCAGCTCTTCTTTCTTCCCCCATGTCACCTTCATGAAGAAAAGCAGGATACTGATAAGTTACAGGTAAGGCAGACGCTGGAATGCGAACCCAAATCTCTCCAAAATTCCCATATTCATGAACCAATGAGCCTGGATGTTGTAGCATACCAATTAGGATTGACAACTCCCCTACACACACACACACACACACACACACACAAATAACATGCCCAGGTATGCACTCACTAATATTGTAAAAAGGTAGAGAAACCTTATCTAAAGTTAGAAAACAACACTCTGGTCCTTCCCGAGCATAAAGAAGACACTAAAAGTGACATTTTATAAGCAAGTTAACTAAAGTCTAAAAAAGTCCTTTTGTCAATTTTCCTGTGGTAGCAAATGGCATAAAAATTATCAAGCTGTGTTTTCAACCACAGGAGTAAACACTGCTTGTATCAAACTCATGAAAGCACTGATCTATACACTACACTTCTGAGGGCTCAATTCCAGAATTTACTTCTGTACCCACTGGCAGGGTAACAGGCACTACGCTCAGCCCCTAACTACTGTACCCAATCTCTGAGAACATCAGCGTTTCCCCAAACATAGTTTCTGAGCATTAACCCACTGAATTTCATATGCATGATGCACAGAAATTTGCTTTTCTATGATTCACATGCTTAATTTCCCTCTATTGTATAAGGCTTGAATGGGATCTGACTCTCCCAGCTCCCAACCTACTTGCCAGCAGAGGCACTATTCTCAGCAGGGAACTCAGCTCAGCATGGAAGCTGTCATCAGTAAGCACAGAATGTCATAAAGGAGATAAGACAGGACAGGAAATTTTGCAGGTCCTTGGACATCTAGAGCATTCAAGGACTCTGCCCACTGAGGTGCAAGAGTGCCACAGAACTTTCACCACAAATGTTTATTAAAATCATCCTGCCTAAGGTCCCTCACCTTCTTTCAATCCCTATAAAAAGGGACCACTTCTCTTTGCTCCCTATAGATGGCCTTTTCACCCTCTGCCTGCCTGCAACGAGGTACGATAAACTCCATGCCACATTGCCTTTACACGAGCCTGGTGGTATCAGCTGGTCTCTGCCTCCTGTGTTCAGTATATATAGTATACTACCATCTGCAGTGTTGTTTCAAAAATTTCAAACAAGGAAAATTCGAAAGTTCCTTCTACTGGAGTGAAATAAGTAGCATATGTAAAAGCTAATAAAAAATGAAAGTTTACTATATTTATAATAGCAACCCTCATGTGACAATGACTTTGCAAAGGGATACTGTATATCTTATTTATTTCTTATAGAAACTCTAGCAATCAGATATCCCTAACAATTTAAAATAATTGAGGAATCTTTGAAAAAATTAACTATATGCTCAATATTACCCAATTATAAAACTGCTGAGGCAGGGTGTCCATGCCAGTCTATTTGTAGTCAAGCCTACATGCCAAATGAGTACCTTTTTAGTATATAAATCTCACAACTTAGCTGTTATTAAAACTCCTATTCTCTAATATTACCAGGATTTAATCTAGAACCCTCTAGGGGGCACTTTAGAGGACAGGTGAGTGAAGCATTTCATTCAAATGTGGTCTCTCTGAGTTCATTCTAGGTTCTAGGAGCTGGATAAGGATATTTTCCTTAAGGTCCTATTTCCTGCCCCTACATTTCAACTACATTAAGGTAACATTTACCCTGACCCTACAGTGTGAAATCATGGGGTATAAACCACTGAATAAAAGACAAATACTGAAGCACAAGGATTTTATCATTTTTTAGGTGAGGAAAGTAAATAAATAAAATATATCAGGTGGTAGTACATGCTCTATTAGAATGCAATGCAGTATAAGGATAAAGAGTTGGACACATTTATTGTCAGTGAATCAGGACTAGTTTGGGGCAGTTGGAAGTAGAAAATTAAAATAACTAGAAATCCATTGCCAGTTTAGTGCTTATATTTTTATCTTTATAAGCAACATCACCTCCCAATGGGGAAAAACAATCAGTGTTTATGGACTAACTAACCATTGATTTATGACATTGGAAAAAGGACTGCATAAAGGTTTAAAAAGAATACAAAATTAGTAACATTTTTTTAAAGACAACAGAACCAGAGAATCCAAACATGTATCCGTTGACAACTAATTCAACTGACAAACTTAGCAAGTTTAAAAGCAAGAAAGGGGGCTGGGGATTTAGCTCAGTGGCAAAGCGCCTGCCTGGCAAGCACAAGGTCATGAGTTCGGTTCCCGGTACCGGAGAAAAACCAAAAAAAAAAAAAAAAAAAAAAAATGCAAGAAAGCACAGACCAAAAAGGTAGTTGTGAATAAGAATGAATCATATAGATACTGCAGGGATATCAAAATATATATAGACAGGTAATAAATTTCAAGACAGCAGTACAATATTCCAATGATGATTTAAAAGGCACAAAATCATTACAGTTATTTAAAAAATATCCATCATCCAGTTATTTAAAAAAAAAAACCTAGGTGAAAAATGTGCCCACAAGGGAAAAAGAAGTTACAAATTTTTAAGGCAGGTTCACCAAATAAGCAATTTATTCACAACTCCGAGGAGTAAAAACCTGTTTTCCTGGGTATTTCCCAGACCTGAAAGAGTAAAACTTAAAAAAGTGGAAGATTTTCTGCACATAAAATGCAAATAATATAAAAATATTAGTACAGTTGAGAAATTAACAATGAGAATAAATCACAAGCCATTTCTATGTAAGAATGAAGGATGCTTAAAAATTGAGCCAGTAATGTGATCAATCATTAATATAATTAACGTAATGATTAATATAAATCAATTGCTGATTAATGCTAAATGAAAAAGATCGTATGGCTCAGCCCCTTAGACACAAAACAGTGACTCGTCTATTTCAATATCCATAGATGACAATAATTTATTTCACTACATAATGCTGTATTGGGAAAAAAATCTATACCAAACACTTAACAGTAAAAAGCCAGATTTGTTCTTACTGAGGTCAGGAGTAAAGCTAGAATGCAAATTGCATAGCTCCATTCAATTCGAAGTCCTGGCAAGTGCAGTAAAGAAATCGAAAACAACAACGAAAAAGGAAAATGGAAGGAATAAAAAGGAAAACGTTGAAACTGGCTAATTCTCTCTGTGAAATTCAAAGAACCTATGAATAAGTGATTAATTTGTACTATTTTATTAAAAACAAAATGCATTCGGCAAAAGGTGGGACAACATACGTAAACTAAATCCGTTCGCATTTATGTATCTGAATACAGTGTGCCAAGCTAACGACCGCAGGCAGAGGAACATTCAGATAAACGCTACGCAACGCACAGCGACAGAGGAGGCGGGTCCGAGCTCACCCAGCGTGCAGAAATCCGGGGACCCGCGCAGCGACAGCGGCGTGGAGACTCTCGTCCCCTGGCTCCAAAGCAGAGATGCCTTTCCTTTCTGCACGGAGAGCAGAGCATGCGTTTGGAGACTAATTAAATACGACAGTGGTCCTCTCACTCGAGCGTGCTCCTCTCGGAGTCCCTGAGGCTGTGGTCGTGGTCGTAGTCATGGCGGCCGCGAGCTGGCCTGACAAGGCTCACAGGTCCCGAGGGCGAGCACCACGGAGGACTCCTTTCACCACTGACCCCCAGGCCCAGGCCTTCGCCTCCCTGAGCTCTGAAGGCTAGAAAGCCCACTGAGAAACCAGTTACCTACCTCAGAGCCAAGAGGAGGGGCCAGGTGACGTGTTGCCGCTTTGCACAGGCGCAGAGTCACACTTCCGCTTCCGGTTCCGGCGTGCCTTGGGGAGGGGGTGGTCCCCTGGTTGCTGGGTCTTCGACTAGGTTGGCGGTAACCACGCAGAGAAAGACTCCTGAATTTATCAGTGGATGAAAAATACTAGCTTCCCCAGGGGTTGAGAATAGAAAACAACCAGGTCATTTGGAAGAGCAGATGAAGGTGACGGGTAAGATCTGTGGCTCCCGCAGATACACCAAGTCAACAGCTTGTACGTGCACCAAACTACATTTATTACCAATTTTTTACCTGGGTCCATTTTCCCTCTTGAAATTGTGGAACCAGTAACAGGACCAAGCATCAACTGAGCAGCAAACGAAATGTATTTTTGGCAAAGAATAGACGTAGATAGATTTGCAAATTCTCTACCTTTCATAGATGTAGGGTGAAAGGAATAGGGGACAGGATAGATTAATAAAAGGGGTGGAATATTCATATCTTTTCTGATTGTGGGCAGAGTTTTGTTTCCCTTTTCCTCTTGAGTGTCACCTCTTTCTGCTATTAATGGTTCTTTTTTCTCTTTTTCTCCAGTTATAGTCATGGGCACTTTTCTCTTTTTCTCTAGTTATAGTCTTTTTGTCCAGTTATAGTCATGGGTCAAATGTCAACTGTGGTGGCACTAGGGTATGTGTGTCATTTAGCATGCAATTGGGATTATAATGAAGGTACAGGTGTCTAGCGATCATTGTGGAGGACATCTTAGACCCATTCGGTTTAGGCTGTCCAGGTGGGAAGAAGAACCTCTGGACTATCTGCATCCTGTCCTCAAAGATAAGATTAAAACAAAATAGAAAGTCAGTTAATTATGTAGTACAAAATTAGAATGTCATACCTCCCAAGTGCTGTGCTAGGCTTGGAGGGCTTGGAGCTCAGGGTATGACAGCTTTGCAGCATTGATGGCCAGGATGTGGCATAGTAGCCTGGCATTAGCCCATCTACAGTAATCAGAATGCTGCAGTGTCTGACCATAGGCCAGTGGCTAGGGATATGCATCTAGGCCTACTTTGGCCCCACTGAAAGCTGACAGAGATAGATCACTATTTCTTTTTTAGTAGTGGTAGTGGTAGTGGTAGTGGTAGATGTTTGTAGTATGTAATGGTTATGTTAATCATGGGAGCTGGTATATGTACATAACATTTCTTAATTCTTTTCTTTATACCCTTCACTTTCCTTCCCCATCCCTGCATCTCTTCGGCCCCTTCTACACACACACACACACACACACACACACACACACACACACACACACACGTGTGTTTATACATGTTTATAGTACGTGATCATGTTCCTCATAGGGATTTGGTGTATATACAAAACACTTCACAATTTTCCCTTTTTGTCTCATTTCCTTCCACTCCCTCTCTTCTGCTTCTGTCCCTCAGTTCCCTTCCAAAAAGCCAAAGATCTATCTTCCTATTTCCAATTGTATTTCTGTGTACACCCCTAGTTCACTCTGAACAATACAACTTTGGATTTGGAACTAACCTGAGATTGCACTAGCCTCTAGTGCAAAAACAGTAACACTACAGCATCAACAGACTCCTGGCAATCTTTTGCTGAAATAGAGGAAGTAACTACAGGCTCTGAAAATAAGCAGCCTGCTTAGAACTTATGGAAAGTCAGGAACAAAAAGAGCTAGATTAGTAAGACTGGAATAAATAATACCTATTCCTTAAAAGTCCAATTGGTATAATATACTAACAGTAATCAAGAGCTTTCTTGAAAATATAAGTTATCCAAAAGTAAAACTAAGTGTAGTACTAGAAATTGATCAGATAGTAATCAGTGTGGGAAGAGTCAGGAAATTTAAAACAGCTGTTTTAAGGTAACTCAAGGAACTTGAAGAAAATACAGAGGAAAAAATGTAATATTCTACAAGAGAAACTTAGCAAAGACATGAAAGCAATTGTTTAAACCAAGCAAATTCTTGAGCTAAAAAATAAGCTCAGCAAAATTTAGCATGTGATAGAAGGTGTCAATCACAGGATATACCAAACAGAAGAAAGAAGTAGTGAGCTCAAAGACAGGCTACTTTAAAGCACACAGAAAAGGAAAAAATGAAGTGGAATAAAGAAAGCCGATGGCAACTTTGGGAGAGTATTAATAGAAAAACATATTTGGATTATTAAGGTTATTAGAGGATCTTGACAATATCAAACTGATAGAAAACTTATCCAAAGAAATAATAGCAAAATTTCCAAACCTGTAAAAATATTTAAGTATCTTAAAATTTATATATCAAGACCATCTTCAGCAAAAAGAGCAATGTAGGAGATAATATGTTACATGACTTGCAAATACACTACAAAGCTACAGAAATCAAAACAGCATAATATTGGTATAAAATTAGACACATTGACAAACAGAACAGAATAGAGAGGCTCCACATAATCTGATACATCTGCATCCAGTTGATTTTTGACATAGGTTCTAAGAATGTGTATTGGGTAAAAGACAGTCTTTTCAAGTAATGGTGTTGAGAAAATTGGATAGCCACATGCAGAAGAATGAAAGAAGAATATCTCTCAGCAGTTATAAAAATCAATACAAAATGGATTATATACATGTCAACACCTGAAACTATGAACCTACCAGAAGAAAATTTGAGAAAAACACTTCAGGATATTGGAATGGACAGGGATTTTCTTTGTGTTTTATTTTTACAAGATCACAAAAGCACAGGAAGTAAAAGAAAAAAAGATAAATATGATTACATCAAAATAAAAAGCCTCTGCACAACAAAGCAAACAATCATTAGAATGAAGAATAAAAGATAATCACATATAAACCTGACAAAGATTTGATATCTAGAATATATAAGTAATTCCAAATACACAATAGTAAAAATCAACCAAATTTTAAAATGTACAATACACCTAAGGAGACATTTCTCAAAAGAAAACATCCAAGTGGATAACAAGCCTATTAAAACTGTTGAACATTAGGGGCTGGGGATTTAGCTCAGTGGCACAGTGCCTGCCTGGCAAGCGCAAGGTCATGAGTTCAATTCCCAGTACCGGAAAAAATAAAAAATGTTGAACATCATTAGTCATCAGGGAAGTGCCAATCCATACTACAATAAGAAATCACCTCACCTAGTAAGTGTAGCTACTGGATAAAAAATGGGTGGGGTTGGTGAAGATGTGCATAAAAGAGAACACTTGCACACCGTTGGTGCGAATGGAAATTAGTACAGCCATTGTGGAAAACAGTATGGTGACTCTTCAAAAAAATTAAAAATAGAACTACTGTATGATCCAGTGATCAGCTACTGAGTATATATCCGAAGGGAATGAAATCAGTGCATTGAAGGGACATCCATGTTTGTGGCAGCACTATTCACCATTGCTAAGAAAAGAGAAATGACTTAAGTTGAATAAATAAAATGGAAATGGAGAACATATAGAAGACGCAATATTATGTGGCCATGAAAAGAACAAAGTATGCTACTTTATTTTACATGAAGAGAACTAGAGGTCACAAGGTGAAGTGAAATAAGCGACACAAAAAGACAAGGTCTACATGAGTTCACTCCAAAGCTGTTCTCACGGAAGTAGAGTGTAAAATGGTGGTTGCCAGAAACTGGAGATAGAAAGAAGAAAGGAGATATGGGGAAAAGTGGGATAAGTTATAGTTGGATGGGAGCAAAAATTTAGGGTGTGCTATTGCACAGCGGGGTGACTATAGGTAAAAGTAATGTATTGTAAATTTCAAAAAGCTGGAAAAGAGGGTTTTAAAATTTTTCACTATCAATAAATGATAGCTTGAAGAAGATGTATGTGTGAAACCTGATTTAAACATAGCATAATATATGTATATATTAGAACATCACATTACCCTTTAATATGTACAACTTTATGTTTTTAGGGAAATAGATTTTTTGCAAAAGGAAGGGGGGAACTAAGATGGAGGAAGGGGTGAGGTAAGAAAGGGGAGAGGGATGAAAAACAATTAAGAGGTGTCACTAAAAAAGATGTGTCACATACATATATCAACTCCCCATGAAGAACATAATCATTGTATATTGCAAATATGTGCTAATAAACAGAAACAAAACATTTAAAGAGAAAAACTATTGAAAAGGAAATGAGTAGACATTTCTCAAAGAAGTCATACAAATAGCCAACAAGTATATGAAAAAATGGCCAGCATCACTAGTCATCAGGTTAATTCGAATTAAAACCACAATGAAATATCACTTCACACCTGTTGAAATATGTATTATCAGTAGGATGCATAATAACAAATGTTGGAGAAAATTTGGAGAAAAGGAACATCTGATTACTGTTAGTGGGCATATAAATTAGTGCAGCCACTATGCACACACAACCTGTGGAGTTTCCTTAAAAATTAAAAATAAAACAATGATATAGCAATTCTATTATGAAGCTATATTTAAAAAAGATATAAAGTCAATATGTATACAAATATCTGAACTCTCATTTTAATGAGAGCATTCATCACAAAATTCGAGATATGGAATCGTCTTAAGTGTCCATCATGACAGTAATAAAGAAATATGGTATATGTACACAATACAATATTACTCAGGCATAAATAAGAAAATCTTGTTATTTTCTACAACACAGATGAACTTGTGTGATATTACATTAAGAGAAATAAGCCAGACCTAGAAAAGCAAGCTTTGCATAAACTCACTTTTATGTAGAATCTAAAAGAGTCCACATCATTAAAACAGAGTAAAATGGTGATAACCAGAGTTTGTGAGACTGGGAGTTGGGTAAATGTTTGTCAAAGAAAACAAAATTCCTCATAGAAAGCATGAATAGTTTCAAGTGATCTATCATAGATCATGATGAGTATAGTTAATAATAATAAACTATACAAATAAAAAATGAACACAACACATAAAATGGGGGAAATCTTTATTTTCAAAACACAGTCTGATAAACATCAAGTATCCACAGGATATAAGGAATTTTATAGATTGGAAACAAAATCAGCCATCAACACAATTGCAAATATGAACAAATTTGAAATGCTATTTCTCCACAGAAGATATATAGGCCATCAACAAGCACATAAAAATGCTCAGTTTTTCATAGGGAAATGCAAATAAAAAGCACACAATGGAGAGCAATATTTCTAATAAAATTTTTAAAAATATTGGCAAGATTGTAGAAAAACAATGAAATGTGAGCAATGAAAAAAACAAATGAAATTTTAGAATAAAAACGTATCAGGTAGCATGAGAAACAGTTTGGCTATTCCTAAAAGACTTAAACATATGGAAACCATATGTCCCAGAAGTCTAAGTCCTACATATATGACCCAAAAAATTGGAAGCAAACATAAACATGCATGGGTTTATAGTAAAAGTAAATTCTGTGAACTGCATTGCAAGTTATGTTATTTGTTATGTGAACATCACAGATTATACTTAGACAAAGATGGCTGTACTGTCACTAGGTAATAGTCTTATGGGACCATCATTTAGATGTAGTCTGTCGCTGACTGAAATAGTGTTATCTACTATGTGATTGCAGTCATTGCAGCAGCATATACAATAACCAAAGGTAGAAATTTCCATTAATGGATAAATGACTAATGACTATACATGTAGCAGGATATTTTTGACCATAAAAGGGTATGAAGCAAGTTACCATTTACCAATAAATCAGCCAAAAAGGAAGTGAGAATGAAAGAAGAAAAGGAACAAATGATAAAAGGGAAATAAGGATCACAAACGTGAAAACAGCTCAGAAGTACCCTATGTACAGTCTCCATATGAATGCTATGAACAAACCTGCATTAAAAAGTAGATTTCAGATTTCAGGTTGAAATGTCAAATGCTATTTTTACAAACATGAAGATAACAAGCTTAGGAGTATGAGCTCAGTGTCAAGAACAACAGATGTACAACCCCAGTTGATCACTTTAAAAAATGCACAAATGAAAGTAAATGTCTCAAATAAATATTTTCAGGTTTAAAGTCATACACATAAAGTGACCAGCATAGTCTCAAAAGAGTAAGGCCTTCACTTTGATTATTCTTAATTCTACTTCTTGCAGACAAAACTATGGGGTTAATAATATCCCTTAGTTATTGTGGGCTGATCAGGTCCGCAATCTCCTGAATGAGTGTATGGCGAAGGCTAAATAAAAAGAGGCAAATGGAATGATTTCAGGGCCCCAGGAGGATCAAAGCTCTCTCACAGAATTCATAATTCTCGCAGTGCTAAGACCACAACCTTCTCTGGGTTGCCCATATTTATTTGGTTATCAGAAGGAAGGCGGGGAGTACTCAAGAAGGGTAGAACAACTCAAGGACTTCTCTAAGTAAGGTATTAAGTTAATCCACTGAAGAATGAGATGCCTGATCAGAACCAGATGTCCTTGGCTGTGATCTTGTCTTGTCCTTTGAGGCTTTCTGGCTTCATCCCCCACTACAGGTTCTAGTAGGGATTAGTGATTCACAGAGGTTCACTTATTATGAGTCCACCATTTCCAGATAACGAGCCTAAGCCTTGGACAGATTCACAAGTGAACACGGAATGCTAATTGGTTAATATTAAATCCTGCTCAGAACCACTTTGGAGTGGTCTCCAACACAAAACAAAAACATAATCAAAATAAAATGAAGAACGTTAGTATTCAAGGCATAATTTTCCAGACAATCTCAGCACTTGTAAATTAAAGTTGGAAATATCAAGGATGCCCATAGAAAAACTAACAAAACTTGGAACTCAGGGACTGTATATGGGTAAGAAAAATTAAATAGAAATTACTGAGGGGATTGGTAAGGAAAAATAAGTACAAAAATGTACAACTGAAAATCCTACAGGTTGGGTACTGAGGAAACTAAGCATGTTTTTTAAAGGCAGAAAGGGTGTTGTAATTCATAGCATTTGGCTAGAGCTATACAATGTCTGCTTAGTTCTGAGGTCCATGATCCATCAAGGAAAAAAGGCTGCTCTGCTGAGGAGTCTGCCCAGGGCCCCCTTCACATCCTTGTTCCTCAGGCTGTAGATGAAGGGGTTCAGCATGGGGGTCACTACAGTGTACATCACAGAGGCCATTGTGCTACTTTGGGAAGAATGGGTCACAGCAGAACTGAGGTGAACTGCAAATCCTGTTCCATAGAACAAGGAGACCACACAGAGGTGAGACCCACAGGTGGAAAATGGTTTATACCTGCGAACAGAAGAGGACATCTTCAATAAGGATGAGACAATGTGAGAGTAAGAGAAGAGAATCCCAATGACAGGAAACACACCCAACAGGGCAGTCACCACATACAGAAAGATGTTATTGATGAGGGAATCAGAGCTGGCCACCTTGAGCATCTCAGTCAATTCACAGAAGAAATGAGGGATTTCAGTGCCTATGGAGAAGGTCAGTTCCTTCATTAGCAGAACATGAATCAAGGCCACCCAGAACATAATGATCCAAGACATCAGAACCAGAAGACCACAGAGCCAGGGGTTCATGATGACTGTGTAGTTCAGGGGGTGGCAGATGGCAACAAATCGGTCATAAGCCATCACAGTCAGTAGGAAATTATCCATCCCAAGAAAAATATTGAAAAAATAAACCTGAGCGAGGCACTCTGCATAGGAGATGCCCTGGTTCTGTGTCTGTAGGTTCACCAGCATCTTTGGGACTGTGGAGGAAGTTAAACAGATGTCAACGAAGGACAGGTTGGAGAGGAAGAAGTACATGGGGGTGTGCAGGTGGGAGTCAGAGCTCGCAGCCAGGATGATGAGCAGGTTCCCGAGCACCGTGATCAGGTACATGGACAGGAACACTCCAAATAGTAGAGGCTGCAATATAGGATCATTGGAGAGGCCCAGCAGAAGGAACTGTGATGCACCTGTATGGTTTTCTGCTTCCATGTAGTGGATGAACCTCCTGAGGAAGGAGAGAAAAACCCAACATTCTAAGAACAGTCATTTGGAACCTCAGTCATGACTTTACAAAGTCACCCATGAATGTGTAGCTTCCATGCTGCACTGATTCCTGCCAGTGACCATGATTCCTCGGCCATGTGGCATTCCATTTCCCTTGTAAAGTGTAAATCATCACTTCTCACCTTTTGGCTAAGATCAAGTGTAGTGAAGTGTATAATCATTAAGACTTGCTTTTTTTTTAATTGACTTTCTTTAAATTACCAAAAATTTATCTTTCATCATTGACTCACCAATCCTCCTGCTAAAATATATGTACATTTGTTAATTTTTTTACATATCCCATTTAAAAATGAATTCATTTCACTGTTTACTTTGATGCTCATCACACTTCTTTTAAGCCCTATAACTGTGATCAAAAATATACTTTTAATTCAAACAACTTTTATTCTACAGCATGACCCTTCATAATCATGTAATAGCTCTCTCTAGTGCCTTTTTCTTTCCAAAATTGTGGTTATTGCTGCTATCTTACTTGTGAGGTTTTAAAATGCTTTTGTGGTCAGAGGAAGTCTCAGTAAATAATAGCTGTTACAGTTGTTAACACTGTTAAAGTTATTTAGAAATTCCTCCATATGATATTTTGGATCTATAAATCTCCCATGTATAGCACACATGTGTGACTTTAAAATTTGGATTCTTGAGTCAGGTTTTTTGGAATGGAGTTATGCTCCACCAAAATAACCATCTTTTTGACTTTGAGAAAGTTATTTAAATTCTCTTAAATGCAGGTTCCTCCCCCCCACAGCAGGAATAGTAAGAACCCGCTACATAATAGGATGGAAGGTGAAATTACATGAGGTGATGCAATTTTTATATTATGCTTCTTGTGACACACAATGGGCATTTAATAATGAGTTTCTGTTCTTAATGAATCTCTCTTGCAAGTTATCATTTATCAATATGTTTCTTAAACTGAGACCACCATCATGAATGCAATTCTTAGCAGTATACATGCAGTATGTATGTTTACCTCTTTTACTGCCTTACAGTATTTTACCTCTTTTACTGCCTTATAGCACTTCTACTAATGAAGATTCCTGTAGGTCTTTGAGAGAATGCATGCTGGGTGAATTTTTCCAAGGAGAGGAAAAAGTATGTTCACTACATAGATAAGAACAGGAAACAAAACCACACCTTGATTAAAACCAAACAGAAGGCAAGTAGGGTTGTCTTCACTCAGGTGTGTGCTCTCAAGTGGAATGTACTGTATTAAAATCACAAGTTTATTGACCAAAATGTATAATTGATGGATTTTATTAAAATATTCAAAAGTTATATAAAAACTCCTTCATCCTAAAAAAATGAAAAGGCAAAATAAATGTTTAGAATCCCCAAGATAACAGTGGCCAAGATTATCAAGACCTAAAGAGTGAGTATTAATTCAAGCCAGAAAAATGTCACTGAAAATCAATTTATTATGCAGGAATGCGTAGGAGGCTTTTTTATTTTTGGTACCAGGAATAGAACTCAGGACCTTGTGCTTGCTAAGGATACACTGTGCCAATGAGCTATATCCCTGGCCCAGGAATGTACAGGAGAATCTTCTCTGAAATAGGAATATATGGGCTACGAAAGGAAGGATGGGTCATTATTAATCAAGGAAAGTAAAGAAGGAGAAAATATTCTAGCATCAGAGAATATAATGTATGATTGTTTATCAGATGGTGAATTTGCACAAAAGAGGACTTCAGAGGCCAGTATGATGTAAAGCATGGAATGAGGGACAAAAGGAAAATAAGGCCAAGAGTAGAATTTTTTGTAATCATTTTTTATGTCCCTCTCACAATGGTAAATTCATGTTTATTTCTGGGTCTGAGCTTGTGACAGCTTTGCCGCATTATGTGTCTTTTCAGGAAATTACATTGGGCCTATCACAGTGTGGGTGCCGGCCAAATAAAAATGTTAAAGGTGTAATAAGTATCAATACCAAAGTGTCCATCATAACACAAAATAGAAATCTTGTGACCCATTGTATGCCTGAATATAAACACAGAATTGACTAATGAAGTTAAAGACAACACATTAATATTTACCATCAAAGAAAAGTACTAGATTTACAAGTAAAAATAATTCTGAGTGTGAAGGCAATAGATGTTTGTTAAAATAGTTCACTGCACATCGAAGTCAATGAAGTGAAATCACTGATGAACACAATAAATCACAGGAGATGGTTACATTAAAAGATTACACGAGGTACATAAAATTCATGAACATGCCGGTGCTGTCCAAATTCAATCATTCGATATTTTCCCGACCCTTTAAAAGGGTTGATCATGTGAGAAAAAATTAAATTGAGTAACGAGCATTAGGAATAATGACATCATTGATAGGTGCTATTGTAGACATGGAGCAGAAGTGATAACTACAACAATATAGGTTGAAGCCTAGGAGTAAATCAAATAATCTGCTAGTGAAAATGAGAATATTGAAGAAAACACCACATTTGGAACAAAATAGCCAGTATCTCATGAATAATAGATCTTTGGTGAGTAGTTAATGTATTAATAACTGAGTGCAGGAATTCTGACAGGAGTCTAGAGTTTACAGAGGGGAGTTAGAGTTCTCCACAAGATAACTCTTATTGCAGAGGTGCTTAAGATTCCAAAGAATCAGGTAAGGAAACAGAATGAGAGCTGGAAAAGAACTGACTATGTAAAAGCTAGAGTTCTTCCAAAATACAAATACTTCACCTGCATAGACTAGAGAAATACTGAACTCTCCCATTCCCATTATTCTAGAGGTGAAGCTTGGTACCCACTCTCTCTCCTGTTATCCTTCTCACTCCGCTTGCCCTCGTGGGAACACACCGACTCTGTCCAGCAGCTGTCACTGAAGCTTTCTCTTTGCCAGGACCTTTGCACAGGAAGCCCGTATGGGTTTAACGGAGGCTGAGACTATACAAGTACAGGTGAGGGACATTATTAATCTTTCTACAGTCTCCAGATTGAAATTCTCAGAGCTCTTCATTAAATAAATTGTTCAATTTTTTCCACTTGCCAAACAAATTCAGCTCCCTTGGGGCACAAAATAAATACCAAAGTGCAATTTTTTTCATCAGTTTTATGTCTCTGGAAGCAGTGTCAGGGGAACATGGTTCTATTTCCTTCAAGAAAAGTGTGGATATTTTTAGTCTGGTGAAAAAGTCATAGGTGCTCTCTAAGGAAAGATTAACTTCTATAGAGAACCAGTCCTGGAAACCATCTCCCATAATACACTTCCTTCTAACAATCTTTGGAGATTTTAGAAATCATTTTGGGTTGATAATGTTATGGAGGAAAATAAATTCTTGCCATTTCATTTTCTTTAGCATTTTTATTTTTCAAATTTATTTTCTATGGACTAACTTATATTGGCAGATACAAGCATACCTATGTGTAACATACAGAACAGTATGTAGAAGTATTTTACACCATGCAAAGGTTAAATCTAAAAATATTAGCATTTGCATAACCTCATTAGTTTTCATTTTTGTGAAAGGAACACAGGACATCTGCAGAACATTTTTCAAGAATATAATATATCATT